AGAAAGAAAGAAAGAGGAGGGGAGGGGGGAGGGGGGGAGGGAGGGAGGAAGGAAGGAAGGAAGGAAGGAAGGAAGGAAGGAAGGAAGGAAGGAAGGAAGGAAGGTAGGTCAGCTCAATTTTCTGGTTCAGTCGAAGCCCAGGGCAACAACTAGGAGCTGATCAAGAACATCCGCCCTTCTTTCATTCATTAAAATAAGGCAGTGCCTGTAGCTCTCCCTGCCTCCAATTTCCTCCCAGCAATCTTGTGAGGGAGTCTAAATCTGGACGTTCACTACACTGTCATGCTGGCTTGCCACAACAGTGGGGGGGGAGACCAGCCTCCCAGAAATCTGTGCCCATATTCATGGGCACGTGCATATATAAAGCCTCCCTTCCCACAATCTTGATTGCTGGGGGGTGCATTCCTCTGCCCACCCCCTCCCCTTTGCTTCTCAACACCGCAACCCTGGAAAGCCATTCCAGCCTGCAGAAGCCGGAGTGCCTGGTGCTCCGTCCGCTGGCCATGGGGGCAGAGGTGCCACCTGCGAGTCCTCCTGACCACAGACGACAGAAGCTAGAGAGTCGTGTAACCGGGATTTGCCTGGAAGGAGCAACCCTGCATAGCTGGGGGGGGGGGCAATCGGCCCCAGAGGTGGCTCCCCCTGCTTTCAAGGGGCCTTGCATGAAATCAGGACAAAGTCGGTCTGCACAGCTTGCACAAGAGATGGCCTGCTGAAAGATGGTGTGCCTATTTAGGCTTGTGCAAGAATGAGCTGGAGGCGTCCTGGGCTAGGGGTTGCGCAAGTGTGCAAGGGATCATTTGCAGAGACCCCGAAGACCCTCACCCACCTTCCAGCAGTTTTGGGAGGAAGTGGGCCGCAGCCTTAGTCTTCTTGACTCGGTTTCCCTTCATCACCTGCCCATCTTTGTTGAGGCCCAGATACCACGAGCGGCCGGACTCCCGCTGCCGGTACAGGGTGGAGGAGTAGGTGACGTAGTAGTTCTCGAAGACGCACTCCTTGAACCGGCACTCGGCAGTGAAGTGAGCCTGGGGGTCAGGGAGGAAGGGTTACTCCTGAGCCCCCCCCGAGAACGCTTGCACTGGGCGGCCCCCCACCCGGGGCTCCGGCTGCTGCTGAAGAGGACCAGGCGCTCAGCGGGAAGGCGGGCCAGAAGTCCAGCCTGCAGCCCTGGGCAGCGTGTGGTCCCAAACCCTTCAACTTTGGGGTCCCTCAGAAGCCCCTCTGACTGGGCTGCCAAATGTTGGTTTGGGGCTGGCCAAAGAGATAAGATAATCCACCATCTCTAGGCAAGGAATTTTTAAACAGTAATGCGATCTTAAAAGTGCCTGCCTGCCTGCCTGCCTGCCTGCCTGCCTGCCTGCCTGCCTTCCTTCCTTCCTTC